CGAAGAGCGAGACCAATCCCAACTTTGTAGTTGAAAACGGTGCTCGTCTGGTCTTCAAAGACTCGAAAGTTAAAATCGAAGTACCGCTCATTTTTTGAGCCTCCGTAATAAAGGAGACTTCGTTTAATGCGATCATACCAAATGCACTGTTTTTCGAAGCAGATGGTTGTTCGCTGTCCCCTGAAGAAACGCCAGAATACGTCGAAGAGAAAGATTAAGTTGCGAGATTCAATTTCATCCTCGTTCGGGAATGTTGAGCTGGACGAAGATTGGGATTCCTCGATTCCTGGACTCTCTTGTTTTGAAGTGAGCTTCTTCCAACTTTTCTGATCAACCATGAAGACGATGTAATTTTTGTAGTTCCAGATATTGTGCGAGTAGAGACCGCGTGTGAACGAAAACGAGTGATTCGTCAACGGAGACTTACCGTTTAGTTCTGCCGGAGTTAAATGTAATCTGTACTTACAACTGGTATTTACTTGCTCGGGACCAACAACTGAGTCAAATGTAACGCAGTAATTCGGTAGTTCTCCCTGGACATTATTCTCGGCATAAAAACTGCTGCATGTATACGAAAAGTTGGTAGGAATCCTCTGGCCTGGGTAGTTACACGTTTGATTTCTATGAGAAGCTGTCGTCAGAATCAAACTAAAAATGTTGTTGGTTTCCGTAAGAAAGACGATGAGGTTTTTTTGATTTCGACTCCGTGGAAAAAGACTAAATTTGCTATGTTGGCTTATAGAAACGGTGGAAATGGAACTCTCGTGTAAGCCCTGAACAAAAGTAGTATCCGATGGGTTTCCTTGAAGGTTGACGATGTGAAATTGTTGATTTTTTGACAGATGCACAATTTCTCGACAAATTTTCAAAGCCAGGTCGTTGTTGTGCCGCAGGGTCAGGTGGTCTTTAAAGTGAACGAGGACATTAGCAGTCGTGATCCTCGATAATAAAAATATGAGCAGGATGCTCAGTATCAATGTTATATTCAAGGAGCTCCGAATGTGTTTTAAAGTTCCGTTTGAATGAAAGTGGCCTTGCGAGAGATCTTTAGATTTATACATCGTCATCGCCGAGTATTGGCCTGCATCCACGTAAAAGGTTAAAATTTCAAAGCAATGTACCTGTATTTACTATCCAAATTCAAAAAAATCTAGTAAGCACATAATTATTTTAAATTTGTAATGGATTAGACTTATGTAAAATTAAAAATGTATAGATAAATTAATAGTACCTTAAAAAGTTATATAGAAATAAATTAGAGTATAAGTATTCAATTGAGTTGTCCACTGTGTGTAGGAGAAATTGTGAGCGAACGTCATGCGAAGTTTTAGAATTATTTCTTTAAGTAACAGTTGCGAATTCTTGACAGGATACTAAGACGGTTTTAGTTTTTCATTTTTAATCGAACGAGTCTATCACATTTGCGTTCTTAGACAATGGACAACGATCAGTTTTTGGCTAAGTGTGTGCTCAAGGAGAAACTGCCATGCAAGACTTTAGGTTTGTATATTACAGGTGCAAGTGAAGCAGATAGGATGAACATTTTTTGAGAAAACCTATGACTATGAGGTAGGAGGTTTTGAGAGATTCTAAATACATGAAATTCCTATAAAATGTTTTAATGATCAACATAGTTACAATTGTAGTCGAAATTGCTCCAAGCTCGTAGTTGCTTCACGTATAAAAACGTCACAAACTTGGGAGAAACTTCTTTATTTTCGTCGCTATAATTGAAAGCATTTTAAATATTTAACAAAATGGTCGACTTATAATTGAAAATATTCACCGTACTAAATGTTTTTCTTAGTCTCATTTGTTGAGCGTATCATCGCGCACAGAGCAAATTCGCTAAACCATAACAACTTTTCGCCGTTGCTGTCCTAAACGCGGTTATATTTTCAAGGACATTTTGAGAGCTATGTTTATTATTTGCGCCCTCATGGCATTTCACTTCAAAGTTTGATCAATCCTTATGATGGGCAGTAAAACGTTCTTGAATAAATTTTCTTGACCTGAAAAGAGGAAAAACTTTCAGCCTGTTGAAGGCTAATCATTTTCCTCTATAAACAATAACAGACATATTTAGTAGACATGTGTTTTCTTCGCGTGGCATAACCTTGATAAGTCGAGAATTTTTTACAAGTTATAGCATAAACTTGATAATTCCAGAATGTCTACTCGTAGGAATTCGTTTCAGTGGTACCTCACTATTCACTCTGCTTTCCCTCTCAAGCAAAACGTTCGGTATCTTGAGAGGATATTTAAAGCACCGTGACTTGAATGTAATTGTAGGTGGGAAGGGATGACTTCCTTATTGGCACAGCAACGACTGATCCTGGTCGAGATTTAAAAGAAAAGGACAAAAGGAGGAAAAAAAATTGTCGCCGGACATGACTTTTTTTTTGCTGTAGTGAACAGCTTTCTCTAGACTCGAGCCGATTTTGTGAGAATCAGAGCCGAATCAAGCAACTACCAAAGAATCAATTTTTACCATAAAGTTTGTATCAAAGGATCGAACATAAAACGTCATTTAGCCTTTCCGTAGCGTCGAGTCATTGCGTGAAGTACATTAAGACAAAAAACGCCTTAAACCACGCTTGATACTGCGCAAAACACAGGAATTGAAATATTTGTATCAAAGAATCGAACCCAACGTCAAGTGTAAGACTCCACTCTATTTGGCGTCGCGTCGTTGCCGTGGCGCGGCGTCGCCTCATTGCGTGTAGCACATCAGGGCAAAAAAACGCCTTCAATCGCGCTTGATACTGTGCAACACCCAGGAGTTGAAATAGTTGTATCAAAGAATCGAACCCAACGTCAAGTGTTATTCTCAGCGATTGTTTTGACGAGGAACCAAAAGAGCCGGATCTTGAAGTCCTACAAGTATGGTGGGCCTCTAAGAATTTTGAAAATAATCCCACTTAAGCTATCAAGATAATTTATTCACCTATTTTCAGTTCAGATTTTTGACCCCATAAAATTTCCGGAACTGTGTGTGAATGGCTGGGCGACGAAGTGACCAAGAGGTGGACCCCTTAACCCTAGTCTGCCTGAGTGGGGTCAGATTGACCCCACGGGAGTTTCAACTCTTTGCCATTTCTCGTGGTATGCACGAAATTTTTTGTCCTTCACAAAAAGCTCTACAAAAACATCTAGGAACACGATTTTGAAGGGGAAAAAAAAAATGTGCATGAGCGATCAAAAAATTCACGAGTACCCCTAGAAAGCCTGAGCGGGGTCAGATATCCTTGTAACATATATTTTACCATTTAGCATCACAAAAGCTTACTTTGAAGGTGTATTCATTTTTCTCTTTTGAATTTTTTTCAGAAACTTATAAAACAAGCAAAATTTTTCAGATTTTTTTAGTTTTCAGTATTTAGTAGCCCTATGATTTTTTTTCTCATGCTGAGAAAAACATGGCAACATGTGTATGATAAAATGGTTGCATACCCTGCGCCGTGTTTTTTAAAACTTAGATATGCTTTATGGTTAAGGCCTGTAAGGTTAGTGCACTGATATTAACTAATAACATGAAAAAACATAGCTAACTAATTGATTTTCAGCTGGGGTCAAATTGACCCTGCTCAGGCTTTTTCGTTGGTTCAGAGGCTCAGGCAGACTAAAGTTAACTGACAAAACAGGACCCGAAGGATTATAAGGCTACTCCTAATGTAGTCACCTTGAATATGGCTACATTAACCTGATTATTCTGCAAAATTTTAACTAACTTATCTAGTCTAGTCTAAAGTTGAGTAATGCAGACAATTAGTGCGAGGAAGAAAACAATCTCATCATTCTTTATTTTTGTCGGTATGAAATCATTTCGTATGTAATTTTTTACCGCATGGTGACATTGAACTTTACTAGATACGCTTTGTAGGATATACACGTCGGTGACCCTCTAACTACAAAAATAAGAGACAGAGAAATAACAAAATGTTAAACAAAAACATATTAACGATCAGTCAGCCAGGATGCCAAATATTCACCTTCATCACAATCATACCTTTAGTGGCGAAGCGTGAATGATCGATTAACAGCGTGCGCTTAATATGTCATCGCAACGAGGGATCTTTCATGGAAATGACTCAAAGTTTTTTCAGCGTACAAGTGATGAATCCTTTCTTTGGCGCATAGCGATTATTTTAGAGCAATATGACGAGCTGCTAACCGTTTACTTTGGCTACATTCGGCACCTACTACCATGTATCTGGGATCCAGTGCTGCGCGTGGTGTAGTTAATACGTCCCACGCATAGCGGTAACACACAAGTATAGAAAGTCCCGTGCCCCAAATCAGAAAAGCTTAGAATTAGTTGAATGAATTAAATCCATACAGTTGAGCCTGAGACCTTAATTTGTTTTGTTTTTTCATGTACGTATTGAACATTTCCGATTTATTTTTGTTTTTGTGAGAGGCAGGATAGAGTAGTGAATGGGCCTTGTTTAGAAGAAAGGAACCAAGCGACATCAGCTTTTGCCAAATTTAACTGCGCACTTTAACTTTTTGAGAGAGAACGTTAGAGCAGATCCCTTTAAAAATTTCAAGGAATTTGCTTTGTACACTGGAAAAAAAACACATTGGATCTAGAGTCCAGACTCTTAAAAACATCGACAAGAAAAAATACTCTTGATTCAATCGGATTTTTGCTTAAATCAAGAGCCAAGCTTCTTAATTTGAGCGGATTTTCTTTTGATTTAAGCAAAAATCTGATTGAATCAAGAGTATTTTTTCTTTTCAATGTTTTTTAAGAGTCTGGGCTCTAGATCCAATGTTTTTTTTCCGGTGTAGTACGCACAAAATTCCCTAACATTTGCACAAAAATCCGCACAACGGTTTTGGTGTAAAAATTGAAATGCCCAATTTAATTCGGCAGTAGCTAATGTGGCTTGGTTCCTTTCTGCTTAACGCAGTCCAAATGACCCACTGACCGAACGAGGATCAACTTTGATTTTGCACTTGAACGACTTGGGTAAACGTTGGCTGTGTGTTGGCAGGTATCGTGGCTGCGGCGGAGAGGGAACCAACTGACTCTGGTTACATTCGGCCGAGAGGTTTACATTGCCGACGGTCGATACGAGCTGTCGCTAAACATCCCTTCGGATCTGTCCAACAAAGGTCCCGCTGAGTGGGGTCTCCGAATCTGCAACATCCAGCAGGACGACGAAGGTCACTACGAGTGCCAGCTCTCCACTCACCCCCCGCTCGTCTACACAGTTTTCCTTCACGTCATAGGTGAGCTCCGTTCGTGACGTTAGTTTAATAGCTTCCACCCATACCGACTACCATCCACAGCAAAAATGTCGTAACTAGAGTCCCTTTATACTGAGAGTCAAGACAATGTGAATCCATTTTTGATTGGTTCCCGTATTTTAGGCCTTCACAGTGTCACAAATGGGAATAAAGACTACATTTTTACCGATTGCAAAGATTATAATCTGAAATGGACCAGGGAACTACGGGTTCGGCAACGAACAAACGGAGTGAGAGAGGGAACGGAGAAAGGAATTTGAGAATGAGCCGATCAAAGATTACAAAAAACGTTCAATTTCTGTAATCTTTATTCCCGTTTGTGACTCCATGAGGGGATGTTGTCTTGACTCTCAGTATAAAGGGACTCTAGTCGTAACTCCATCCAAAATGTTGCATTATTTGTCTTGCGATATACTCTCGTAAAAAAAAACAGCATGACCATCGTGTTTCATCATGTCTGTTTGATATGCCACGATGAGTCAGTTGCCAGTTTGATATGCCACAATGGGTCTGTTGCGCTACCCACAAAATCGTGTTTCGGTGTTTGATTCTTGTAAATAAGATCCGTCCATCAGCAACTTTCTAAGTTCAATGTTAACCGAAACATCTCGCTTTGAAAAATTCGGTTTATGACGTCATTTACCGTGGTAGTGACACCCTTGGTTTCTTCCACCTTTCTTTCATCTGTCATGGAGATACGCATTATTTTCACGGAGCACTCAACGTGGAATTTGGATGAAAGCAAGGTGGAAGAAACCAAGGGTGTCATTACCGCGATGGATAACATCATTAACCGAATTTTTTAAAGCGCGATATCTCGGTTAACATTGAACGTAAAAAGTTGCTGTTTTAACAGATCTTAATTTTTTTAGCTAATCTACAAAAATCAAGCATCAAAGCATGATTCTGTGACCTGCAACTGACTCATTTTTCTACAAATATGAGGAATAAATGCTGATTGCTTTCAGTGTAATAAAATATATTTTGTCATTAAATTGAGAAAAAAATCTAGTCATATTTTTGTCATAAAATTTAGAATGTGGTCACGATTTTTTTGCTTTGGACGGAGGCATAGTCAAGAAACAATATAAAACCATATAAATCAATATTAAAGATTGATTGGTTAAATCATAAAATGGAATACCTTTCTGAGAGAGCGTATTCTAAGAAAATATGAGAGTATCTTCTCAGGCATTTGACAAAATATCCGCTTCGATCTTTCACTTTGATTATTCTTTATATTTTAAATTGAAAGCTATTCAACATCAATTCTTTGAAACTTCCACGATTTTTCTTCTCTATGCGGAAACATCTCTGAGAAAACTTTAAGGGATGATAATGATTTTTCCTCCTTCGAAATTTTAATTTCGGAGCGGAGATTTTTAAACACCGCGCATGCGATTCGTGGTCTGGTGATATCACCTCTAACACGCGAGTCTTTGTGGCAAATGAAGTAAAACGTAAACATGTATAAGTTGTAAAAAAATATTAAAAAAGAGTGAAAAAGCAAATGGTTTAAAACTCTGATACAAAATATACAAGAAGTTTTATGAAAATTTTAAGAAGTCATGGATGAATATTCTCTATGAAGTACTTCACAAGAACATGAACATAGACATCATATCGTGGTTGTAAGCCCTTTTAATGGCGTGATTTTAATACGCTTGTGGGAAGAAGAACTCTTACAACGTAAATTTACCCCTAAATCATTTCAATGCATGAACGTCAGAGCATATTATCAGAAATGAAAGTAGAACACCTTTAAAATATGTTTTCATTTAATATGTAGTTAGTTTATATGTGCATATTATTATATCGCTAAATATTTCATTGTATGGCAAATCTGACATCCTATTCAGTTGCGCGATTATATATCAATTTTATTTTTGCAAGAGATTCAGTCAAAAAATCATTGACTAAGCTATAGAAAAAGTTCATTTTTATTAACCTACTCGGTAACAATTACTAAAACCGAAGTTATTGTTCCATGAACCCCACAGTAAGACTGTATATGGAATACCGCACTACGCGGAAAAAACAATTTCGAGGTTATACCCTAAAATTTTGGTACTACCCCCAACTTGTTGGATGATCTTTTTCCCCGACTTGGATTTGTTACGTAACGCTGGCTTTGACACCTCCCTCCCTTCCCACAAGTTTGTTACGTAATACTTAAATAGATCTTTGCCTCATTCCTCGAGTTGCAGCCTCAAAAGATTGAAAATCCAAACCGAATTTACCCTAGAATAAAATTGACTCTCAAAAAAGCCTCAATGTAGATACGTTCCACCCTGTCAGAGTTCCATCGAATTGATCGAGGAGCCATAGAGAAGCGCTGTCGTGCTCAGCAAAAACCACGTAAATGCAATGGAAAGTATCCTTAGATACGTGGTTCTCGCCGAGGGCGGGAGAACGAGAGCTAGAATGAGGAGAATGACAGGGCTGTCTCGTTAGACGCGCCCACCAAGCGACGTCGGCGGGGGCGGCCAAATACTGCCCTGCTAAGGAAGAACGCCGTATGAACCTTCAGACGTTGCCAAATTTCCTTTGATAAAACACGAATTTCCTGTCGAACTCATCAATATCTTTCTTCCAATTTTTTTTAGATGATTTTGCTCGCAATGAGCAATGAGACAAGGTACGAATTTAAGCAATCTGATACATGTTTCCTAACCAGAATTTTACGTAGAACTACGATTCGCACAACGAACATTACTGAACCCAACTCCTAACTACGATATTAACGTTTTTATTTCACATTGGTTACGAGGAATTTGACCTGCCCGCTTACAAGAAACTCAGAGCTCTACGTGAATCAAATCGCGCACTACAACAGTTTCAGCGAGCTTCTCAATCGAGCAATGTTCATTTCCAACCATGTGTTGTTCAAACTATAAGAAATTTGCTATAGCTGAGCCAAAGCGTCAAAATTGAGGTTGCTTGATTTTTATATCGCAGAGACTGTCATGATAACGTTTAGCGCGCGATGTGAATCACGTAGAGCACTGAGTTTTCATGAGCGGGTGGATTGAATTCACGCATCAAGAATTATTGAATATCTTCGTAAGGAGTCGATTTCGGTAATTTTTGTTGCGCGCATCATGTTCTACGTGAAATTTTAGTCACAAAACATGTATCAGAATGCTAAAATGTGTACGTGGTCTAGTGGTCCATTCCACCAAAAAGTTCTGAAAATCCCAAGGAAAAATATCCATAACTTTCCTCAAAAATGAGCATTTTATCGAACGAAACTTGGCAACTCTCGAATGTTCATACGGCGTTCTTCCTTAGTACGGCCGAATAAACGGAGCGAATGCGCACTGAATACGGATGTGATTTTTGTTGGCGCGCTGCTTGATTGCTGATCGGGGGGTCGTGGGTTCGGTGCCTGTTGGACAGTTCCCGAGCTGGAGATCGCCGACGAGCGGGGCAAGCCAATCAACAACAAGTTCTATCAGGCGGAAAGCACGATAGAGCTCAAGTGCTCCATCGCCAAAGTGCCTCACCCGAGTCAGTTCATCGTATGGAAACACAATACCAGAATCCTCAATTATGACACCACGCGGGGTGGTATCAGGTAAGCCGCTTCCTCATACTCCGCTTCCTCCCTCTAGCTCATACCTCTCTTACTCTCTCTTTCCTTGTCTCTTTTCTCTGTCTTTTTTCCTTTTTTTCTGGTGTGCTTTCTTTTTTCGGTCTGTTTGTTTTACTTCGATCCGGTTGCGGTGTGAAAACTGGTAGTGCTGCCGAGACCATGAACGGCCGGAGGTCAGCCAATGCGCATACCCTCCACTGTCCGTTCATTGGAAACTCGCCCTTCCTCAATGCGGAAAACAGGGGTGTCATCCAGAGAAAATATATTTCAGACACCCCGCTTTGACAAATGAGCCCGCTTTATTCAGATTTTGAAAATATGACCCTGGGTTTTTTTTTTATATTACGTGGTAAAGTTGCGAATTCTTCCTTTAAAACAATGTATTTTTTTTTATTTTTGTCATAGTTCGTTTGAGCGTTCTACTGGGCCGATTCCCATGATTTTTGCGGTTATCGACGAGTGATAGTCCCTAGATGAGCCCGCTGTAATAAGACTTTGAAAATAGGACCCAGATTCTTTTTATATTAGAGGAGATCAGAAAGCTTATGGTTGAGCACAGGGAAGAATTTCATGAGCGCCGCCGCCTATGGTCCAAAACTCAAGAATAGGAAGAAATAAGTCGGAAAATAGCTGAATGATCGCGAAAGTTTCGTTACGGATGATTTTTGAGTCGCTAATTTAGAATTTGATGTCAAATTACCTACATTTTAACACCCTTACCTAGAAATTATGGACAAGTTAATGGCACGCTGCGGCGCGGCACGCTGCCAGCTCGAAACGCGTACTGACGCCTACAAACCTAATGGGATACTTCAAGCATTGCGCAATGCGTGCGGTAGCCATTTAGGTTTGTAGGCGACAGTGCGTGTCTCGCGCTGGCAGCACGCCGCGGCGCGGCTCTCCCGGCGGGCGGGTGGTGACCGATTTCTTACGGGGAGAGCTCACTGGCGGAGAAACTCGTGTATCATGTAATTTTTTTTTTTACAATTTTTAAAATAACACACTGGTCGTGTGAAGTAATTAGTAAACTCTCAACGCTAGATGAAGTGTTATAATGAAAGGTAAGTTGGCGCCATGCTTGCTGCGGACGGCGCAGGGCAGCTCATGAAATTCTCCCCTGTGCTCTGTCGGAAAGCTTAGAGAGGTGGGAGGGGGGACAAAATATGAAATTCCCGTCAATGAAAAATTGCGGGGATTTTAAATTTAGCCGAAAATTGAAGTAAGCGGGAAATGTTGAATCTTGGTCTTGGGTAAGTGAATCGAAGGTAAGCTCCTTCGCTACAGACTATCCAAAAGGAACGAAACGCTCAGTTCCGTTCCGTTTCAGTCTTGGCATGAAGTTTGAAATAAATGTCGATTTTTTCAATCGATTCTCATTGGTCCAATTGCTCCCGGCCAGAGGGAGATTGGATAAATGAAAGTCAGGTTTGAAGATCTTTTCATTTTTTTCGGTCAGTCTTTTGTCGACGCGGACCTAAGAGAACGCGAAACGTCCTCTAGGGGTTGGGCCGCGTAGCGGCCAGGGGTTAGCCCCCTGATTTAAATATATTCTCTCTGGTGCTAGTATTTCACTTATGAGCTATTTCTTGGGATTCTAGCTCATTTTAAAAATAATATAGATGCCATTATTATTAGTCTTGAGCGAATTGGTGATTTTATGGAAGAGATTGAAACAGTGATTCCGAATTAATAATTGTGTCCAATTCTTGCCCGAATACGGAAAGAGGTGGTAAGTGCCGTCTTGATTGAAATGAAGCAAACGACAACGCTTTATTCGACGAACGAAAATTCGATCAAATCACGGGTGTGTCTACATCGTTTCGCGCTCATCGATCGGATAAACACTAATTGGACTGCATTTTGCAATTTGGACCTATAAATTCTGGCTCATCTGAAAAAACACCTATGTGCATGGGAAATTAATGGCACATACGTTGTTTTCAAACCGGGTCGGAATTTATAGTTCCTAATTGCAAAATGCGTAGTCCAATTGTCAGGACAACAATTTTGACCTGATGTCATCACTACGTGGCTTGTCACTAAAAAACAGAAATCCTCATAATAAAGGAAAAACTCATTCACAGCTAATTTCCCTTTTTAGAGTTATACTCTTTGGAGCAATTCTAGTTACGAACAACGAAATAGACAACTGCAGATGCATTTCGAGTCTAATTGAACTTCCTTATCAGTGAAGTGCAGCCGTAATTCTTAAAGCGTAAATCTAAGGTGGAAAAGCTCTAAATGAGTTTTTTCCCCTTTCAAATGAGTATCTCCATTCTTACAGAAACAAGCGCTATCGCAATGACATCATGTCAAAACAGGGTGGCATGAAACGTAAGAAAGATATGAAAGATTGAACATTTCACGAGGGTGTGAAATATTATATATTTTTCAGGGGCTAGAGTATGCAGCCCGCACTCAAACACACACAAAAAGAAGAAAGTCACAATTTTTACATTTTGCGAAACATGAAAAGGAACCGGTATTTTTCAATATATTTCATAAATATTTGAAATTTCATGAAATATTTCACGTGAAATTTCAAGATTTCATTTTCCATGAAATTTTGCCACCCTGTGTCTAAACCTGTGTCTCTAAAATACCTTCGTGTTCCACAGGGTAATGGCTACAACTCTTTTTATTCATAACCCAGATCACCTTTCCTTATGCGCAGAAGTGCTTATGCGCGATCTCGGATTGTTCAATTTCTCCGTCCTGTTTCGGATATAAATATCCTACTTTTGCTAGCCAATCTTGTTGAAAGGAGCCATGTTTGCGCTCGCGAGTCAATACTTGCCACAGATCGAGTAAGTGTGGCATTTAATTTCGAGTTGCGGTTTCCGGATCATGCTCAAATAAAAATCGTGCATTGGGGGATCAGCGGTTACACCCACTGAAGCTAAACTTCACCATTGAATGAACGAGATTTGCCGTTCACCTACTTCTTTACAATATTTATACTGCCGTGCTGAGGGAAAATGCCGTATGAGTCTTTAGGCGTTGCTAAATTTCCTATGATAAATCAAAATTTTTCAAACTTCCCCATTTACAATACTAGGAATGATCGATCATGGATCATAAACATCGCGCTTCCGTTAAGCAGAGGTCGGAGCTACTTCACTACCATCGGCATGCATCACGCACATCCGCTAAACACGAATAGTTTCATTAAGGCACTGATTCATGACGCAAAACTCTAAGAGCCCACTTAGTTCTAAACGTTACTTTTAATTTTCAATTCCCGCGTAGAACTACCCCCATTTACAATACTAGGGATGATCGATAAAGGATCATAAATATCGCGCTTCTGTTAAGTTATAAGTCGGAGCTCCTTCATTACCGTCGGTATGCATCACGCACATCCGCTGAACACGAATAGTTGCATCAAGGCATTGATTCATAACGCACGACTGAAAGAGCTCACTTAGTTCTAAATGTTACTTTCAATTTTTAATTCTCCTGATCAAAAATCCGCGCTCCGTCACGCCACGGAAACGCTTATCCGGAAGACAAAAGCTCGTCAAATGAAAGCCCTCGTAATGAACGAAGCTCTTTAAAACGACACCTTTGACGAGTGAAATCCGAATCAAAATGATGACTATTCTACCATGCTAAGGAAGAACGCCGTATGAGCCTTCAGGCGTTGCCAAATATCCTTTGATAAAACACAAATCTCCTGGTAAACTCATGAAAACTTTTCCTCCAATTTTTCATATAATTTGCTTTGCAACTTCACCTAAAGTCCCCGAAAATTTCAAGGAAAAATATCCATAACTTGCCTCAAGAATAAATGTTTTATCGGAAGAAATTTGGCAACTCTCGAATGTCCATACGGCGTTTTTCCTTAGCACGGCAGCATTCCGCGCGAATCATCCGAAACAATAGCTCAAGATGCAGGTCCCTCAATTATCGATTCGGCACGGCGCGGGANGGGGGGGGGGGGGGGGGGGGGGGGGGGGGGGGGGGGGGGGGGGGGGGGGGGGGGGGGGGGGGGGGGCAAAGGTAGCCCCGACCGCCGGGATTAGCTTCTCGCGGGCCGAGACAATGGGGCGCAGAATTAAAATGCTGGCGATTGTAAATTAAAAGCGCTCGACGAATGGAAATTGCCGGGATAGGATTCCCATTCCCATTGACTTGTCATTTCGCGCTTCCTTCCCGATTCCCGGGGCCCGCGCCCTTCCGACTCGCCTTCGACCGTTTTTTAATCCCTTCCTTGCCCCCCTCNNNNCCCCCCCCCCCCTCTCTTACCGGTCCGTATACGATTCGCTGATCCCCGGCGCTGCCGTGACGCAGAGTAAACATTTCCTTTTCCACCCTTATTTTTTGAAGCGGGATGATTGCACCAGTGGCGTGGCGTGAATGATCGAGTATCGATATCTCGCCATTTGAAGTCGTGGTAAAGAATCGATTACTAAGACGTTCGCTGCGAACACCCTGATGATCGATCTTTTTTCATAGGTTTGAGTGGCGTATCAATCGATATATCATAAAGCACGCGACGCCAATGGATTGCTGCACTGAAGAGCCCTTCATAACACGTGACACGCTCGGAAAGGGGGCTCTGAACCCACTTCATGAGAGGAGGGGGGGGGCAGGACTGCGTTACGTGACGTTGAATTCGGAAGAAAATGCTAGTTTTTCAAAAACTAATTATGAAAATCAATGTAAGGTGGCAATTTTACATGAATGCTTCACACAACGCTAAATGCACCAAACGCAGAGAAGTAGAGTAGTATATTAATTTTTACACAAGTAAAGACCCGTGTTATGTGGTTATTTCCACGCTTTATTTTTGAAGCGTGATGATTTCACTGGAGAGCCCTTCATAACATACGTGACGCGCTCGAGGAGGGGGAGGAGGGCTGCGTTACGTGACGTTGAATTCGGAGGAAAATGCCTATTTTTCAGAAATTTGTTATGAAAATCAATGTGAGGGGCAATTTAACAAAAATGCTTCACGAAACGCTAAATGTAACAAACGC